CTGCCATTGTGGGGATTTACATCCTGCGGGATGACCAGCGGGTCAAAATCATCATCAACGAGATCCCCGACAAAGTCAGGCAGTTTGAGGAGGAGTTCATCAGCCTGCTCTCCAACATCACGGGCGCCATCGTCAACACTGATGACGTGCAGGTAACCATCCACCTTGGAGGCTGCTTTGAGGGGTCGGTAACTCCCTTCCAGATGCTGCTTGGGAGGTCTCCTGTGTGGGAGTCCTGTCTGTAAGCCATAGACACCCCTGAGCTCTGAAGGTGATGGATTGGATCCAAGGGGTCCAGACTGTTGCTTTTGAGGGTCTCCTGCCACCTTGAGCAACCTTGGGGCCCACCCAGGAGGAGACGCCTCTCCCACACTTGCAGACCTTGTTGTGTCTCCCCAGTTCCATGTTGACAAGAAGGGTCGGGTGAACTTTGCACAGACGGAGCTGCTGATCCACGTGGTGAACAGGGAGACCAACCGCATCCTGGACGTGGAGCGGTACGTCCCCTGGCCCATCACCCACCCCGTGGGGGCCTCGGGGACCCTCATTAATGTCAAGATGCCCAAGCAACCCTTCTCTTCCCAGGGTTATTCAGATGATAGACGAGAACAAGGAACAGCTGAGGAATCTCTTCAGGAACTACAACGTGCTGGACGTGCAGCCTGCCATCACTGCCCGGGCACCAGATGACCTCTCAGCTCTGCAGGTAGTGACCCGGCTTGGGCTGGAGATGCTGCTCACAGGTGGGGCCACGTCCCTTCTGATGGGGACTGGTCATGGACTGGAGAGATGTTTCACCCTCATAATTTCGGGTGCGTGCCCACCACCGGGTGCTGGCTCCATGCCGGAGGTTTCCACCACCCCTCTGTCTCTCCCAGATGGCAATCATCGTGCTGGCTGTCCTGCTCTTCCTGGCTGCCATGCTCTTCATCCTCATGAACTGGTACTACAGGACAGTGTGAGTAACACCCAAGCTCTGCCCCACCAGCTGCAATGTCCCCGTGGGCTAGGGACCCACGTGGCTGCTCCCAGCCCTGGAAATGCCAGCAAGCAAAGGAGGGCATCAGCTTCCCAACACCTCTTCTTCCAAAATATATCATTTTAATGCTGACAGCACCTCTCCCCTTCATGCTTACCAGCCTTATGGTATCCCTGTGTGAAGGGTTATTACAAGTCTGTGCGTCACTCTCCTTTCCAGCATCTTCCTTATTTTCTGTCCTGATTTGCTGTGTTTCTTTTGCAGGCACAAAAGGAAACTGAAAGCCATAGTGGCTGGCTCCACCGGTGAGCAGTGTTTGGAGTGTCCCAGCTGCATGAGAGAGGGGGTGCATGGGGAGCACAGAGGGGGAACACAGGGAGAGCGGGGGATGCATCAGCAGTGATCCTACCCAGCAAGGCATGATGGTGGGAGGCTTTTCCCAGCATCCAGGCTTTGCATTATCAGCCACATCCCTGAGTGTTTCTCACACCACTGGTGCCTTTTCGGTTGCCAAGTTTCCCTCCCTGGTAAAGAAGTGTCACTCTGTGATTTGCTGCCCAGCCCACTGACGGGCTGTGCTGTAACCGCCGTCCCTGCCTTTTGCAGGAAACAGAGGTTTCATGGACATCATGGACATGCCAAACACTAACAAGTACTCCTTTGATGGGTGAGTGCTTCCCTTCCTCTCTAATGGGCAACCTCCTGGGGTTGCTGACTGCTCCCAAGAGAGGGATGCCTGCATTTTGCAGCCAGAGGCATTTGGAGGTGGAGACGTGATGTCCCGCTGCTCTGCTCTGTGTGGAGTGTGGCTCTGGCCCTGGGGCACGTGCTTATCTTGAGAGCTTCCAAAGCAAAAAAAGCTTGTGCTTTCTCCTGTGACTCCATCTCTGCCAATCCTGGCCAGGTTTGGGGCAAGCAGAGACGATGAACAGGTGTTGGTACACATCTGGATCCAGAGCAGCCAAATTCCTACCTGCACAGGGCAGGAGGAGGCAGCACAACCTCAGCATCTGGGCTCTGGATGGGGTTAGGGATACTGCTGCTCTTTGCCTGCGCTGATGGCTGTTCCTCTCCCCTGGGCAGGGCCAACCCAGTGTGGCTGGACCCCTTCTGCAGGAACATGGAGCTGGCGGCACAGGCGGAGCACGAGGACGACCTGCCCGAGAACCTGAGCGAGATCACCGACCTCTGGAACAGCCCTGCCCGCACCCACGTGAGACACAGCCCTCGCCAGGACACATCTCCCCACGCCTGTCACCTGTGCCACCTCCTCAGCTGCTCTCTCCTCCTGCAGGGGACCTTCGGGAGAGAGCCTTCGGCCACCAAGCCCGACGACGACCGCTACCTGCGCGCAGCCATCCAGGAGTACGACAACATTGCCAAGCTGGGGCAGATCATGCGGGAGGGACCCATCAAGGTGAGTGTTGGGTGCAGGCATCCCCCAGTGAGGGGTCTTCTCCTACTACTACACCTTCCAGGTTCACAGCGGCGGCGCCGGAGGGTGATGTTGCTCCAAAAACTGCTGGCACGAGGCCAGCCTCCCTCCCATCAAACTGTGTCCCCTGAGTAACCCCCCGTCTCTCCCCCTCCACCCAGGGCACTCTCCTGAAGGTGGTCCTGGATGATTACATGCACTTGAAAAAGCTCTTTGCCCAGCGGATGGTGCATAAGGCCACCTCCAGTCAGGGGGACCGCTCCTCGGTCTCGGAGGTAGAGGGGTGTGCGTGGGCATGGGGAGGTGCTTGCCGTGCCCTCTGGGATGCAGTGTGTCTTCCCGGTCCCACAGGCTGCAGTCGCTCCCTGTGGCCTTGATCCCCATCACCCAGTGGTCCCCCCGTTCTCTGCTTGGCCAAAATGAGCCAGATGTTGGTTTTCCACTGAGGCTGCTGGTTCCCCACAGTGCCCCAGCTCTCTTAACCCTCCGTGTTTCCTCTGAGCATCAGCAGCACCTTCTTCCCTGGTCTGTGCCTCCTGGAAGAGGACCCTTCCTCTTTGTGGGGTGAGATCTGTCCATCAGCTCTTCACCTCTGCCAAGGCTGACCAAAACTGGGGGGGAACATCTTCCCTCCCTTCTGCTCCTCTGAGCCTGTCAACCCAGCAGGTTTTTGAGGCAAAAAAGGTTGGGATGGAGGGTGCTGGTGTAGGAAGGCTGGTGTGGGGAGAAGCAAGTCCTTCTGCAGCCTTCCACTCCTTCATGGAGAGCAAAACGAGGGGCAAAGAGAGCAGAGGAGAGCAGTGGGATGGGAGATGCCTTTCAACCCTTCTGCCTTCCATCATCCATGTCTTTATCCCCCTCCAGCACCTCCAACTCCTTTTCCTGTCTGCCTCCTGCCCCACCACTCTCATACAACCCAAAATCTCAACCTGGGTCCAAACTCCTCCTTGGCCACCGCGAGGGCTGCTGCAGGACACAACCCAGCTGGTGGCCAGTGCCTGAGCTGGGACATCCACCCAAGGATTGAGTGACCCAGCTGGAGATCATCTCCTGGTGATCCTCTGAGGGTGCTTCAGAAGAGGAGGGCCCATCCCTCCTGGACTCCAGCATTGCAGGAGGTTTGGAGCCAGGGGAACCAGGAGCTCCCCTGGCCACAGCAGTGATTCCCCCACTCCATGGCTCTTTTGCAGCTGATCCAGAAGGAGCTGGAGGAGGAGGAGGAGGAGCGCAGTCCCAGCCAGGGCAGCCTCCGCTTCCGACACAAGCAGCCGGTGGAGCTGAAGGGTCCCGACGGCATCCACGTAGTGCACGGCAGCACGGGCACGCTGCTCGCCTCCGACCTCAACAGCCTGCCCGAGGACGACCAGAAGGTGCTGGGCCGCTCGCTGGAGACTCTGACCGCCGACTGCGGGGGCTACAGCGACCACAACGCCCGCACCGAGTCGGCCAAGTCCACCCCCCTGCACAAGATGCGGGAGGTGATCATGGAGAGCCCTCTGGAGATCACTGAGTTATGACGAGCGGCGGTGGCGGCGGTGGCGGCAGTGGTGGTGCTCCTCTAGGCAAGCCGGGGCCGGTAGGGATGAAGCACAGACCAGGGGGGCCGTGGTGGGGGCCAGGGGCACCCCGAGACCGGTGCTTGGCCCCCTCTTCCCCTGCAGAAGGAGTCCAGGCTAACCGGTGCGGATCGCTCCAGCAGCCTCGGAGAGCTTGGCCCCGGGAAAGGGCTCTCAGGACCAGAATGCTTTTACTCGCCTGTCATTTATCCATGAAAGCATTAAATTTTTTTTTATTTTTCTTATTAAAACAAAGAAAAAAACCAGGTTTTTTTTTAAAAAAAAGAAAAAGCAAAAGAAAAGCTAAACGAATCCAATGAGTCCAGACGGACAGGGGGGAAGGTGCAGTGAGGATGCAGATGATGTGCTGCTGCAGCATCCCTGGGCCCAGGCTGGGGACCAGCAGCTGTCACATCTCGACCACAGGCATGGGGAGGGCCAGGGCAGTGTGGGGAGAGGCCGAGTCCTTTTTGGCATTAACGTCACCTTTCCGGGAAGGAAAGACCCAAAAAGTAAAAAAAAAAAAACAAAAAAACAACAAACCGAAGACATTTCTCCATTTTGCTGGCTTTACCAAAACTTGTTGCGATGTCAAAAAAGAGAGAGACTGACAATAACTGGGGCTTCTGGATGTGGAGTGCTCGTGCGTGTCTTTTGTTACCCTTTTCTTTCCCCTTCTCTCTTGCGTTTGGGTTTGATCGTTCGGGGGTTTGTTTCCAGTTGTAACCTTGTGGAGAGTTTCGGGCACGGTCTGTTACGGGACTCAGAAATACACTGTCTATGGCTTTGGGTAACCTGTGTGTCGTCCTTCCTCCCCAGATCCATCACACCCAAATCCCCTTTCAAAGAGAAAACCCTCTTACCCTTCAATTCATCATCTTCATGAGGTGCCACGATGGGTGTTTCTGTGCCCTGGATTTTAGGGGAAGCATTGAATGTCCTCTAGGTTTACCCACACCCCCAGCACAGAGAGGAAGGAGACAACCAGCCAGGCTCACGGGAAGAGTTTATTTGTGATGAGATGCTCCCGTGCATGCTCAGGACCAGGCACTGCAGGCGTGCCCCCACTACAGTGGGGAGGGATGAGCCAGCACCCTGCTGCCCCTCACCACCACAGCTGGGCCAGCACAGAACCCCCCACGGAAATGGGTGCTTGGAAGGAAATCTTTGCACCCAAACTTACTCATTTCATGTTCAGGAGATACTTAGTATATATGATATATACAATATGTTTATATATTAAGTATCCCCAGATCTATGGCATGAAGCTCCTGCTGGCCTGGAGCGGGGGGCCTGCGTTTGGGCAGCAGAACCCAACGCAGCCCACAGGAATGGCTCCACGTTGCAGGATCTGGGCCTTACGAGTGGTTCAGGGTGGGATGGGGCTGGGGATAGAGGTGGGGATGGGGATGGGGTTGGGGATGGGGATTTTTACACCCTGAGAGACGTCAAGGCTGAATCCCCAGTCCTGAAAATACGAGTCCCTTAACCTGATTTGGAAATCCAAGCCCCAGGGGTGGAAAAGGAAGTGGCAGAGGCAGCTGGGGTTCCCCACAGCCCTCCTGCCATTGCCCTCCATGGGTGCAGGCACGTCCCAGGGGAGAGGAGCCAGGATCCTGAACCAAACGGCAGAGCTAGTCCAGCCAGCTGGGGAGATGGCTCCTAGTTCCATATGTGACGCTGGCAGTGTGCGACGGCCTGCGGGAGAGATGGGGAGGGAGGGAGGTGGGATGCAGGGACCCCCGGCCAGCAGAGTGGGGACACAACTGACACTTACATTGCACTCGACTGCCGTGGCCATGTTCTTGCACCAGTAGTGCGGGCCCCAGGCACAGGGGTCTGAGCCCAGGAGATCCTCCTTGCGTGAGTCGCAGGCTCGGATTTTCTGCATTGCGAAGGAAAAGGATGAGAGGGAGAAGAAAAAACCTCCATGAGCACCCTTTGACCCCCCTGCCCCTCTCCCATACCCCAAGGCTTGGACAGAAGGTGCCCATCTTGGTCTGTGCTACCCCAGGGATGAGGACACTTACAGTGCAGACAAAGGTGGGGTCCATCATCTGCACGAAGAGCCGCACGGCCGCAGGCTCGTACTGCAGAATGAGCGCTTCACACTGGGGAGGAGAGAGGGGGTGAGCCCGGAAGGGGTGTCAGGCGGTCCCTGCCAGGCAGGGTGTGCCCCCCTCAGCTCACCTTGCTGGTGAGGGGCATGGGCAGCATCTCACAGCCCTTCTCCAGCACGTTGCCCAGCTCCTCCAGCGTCTCGTTCTTCAGCAGCTCGTTGTCGAAGTAGGTGATGACGATCTGGCAGACGTTGCAGAAGGCGCCCGCGCTCACCGCCAGCTGCTCCAGCGGGGCAGCCCCTGAAGGACACGGAGCATCAGCACCCACCCTGCTCCCCAGGGTGGGAGTGGGGTCTGGGTGCCAGCTGGGTCCCCCAGCTCACCCGGAAGGGTGTCCCCGCCGCGGGGGCAGCAGTGCAGCATGGTGCACACAGCGGCCGGGTTGGTGGCCTCCAGCAGCATGATCATCACGGCTTTGCCGTAGGAGTTGACGAAGTCCTTGCACTGCCCGATGACGCCGTGGGGCAGCATGTAGCACACCTTTTCAATGTCATTCACCAGTTGCTCCTGCCGGGACAAGGCAGAAGAGGGAAACCCCCGCTCCTCGCTGCCCTTTAGCCCCCCCCATCCCAGCCCTCCTGCCTTCTGAGCGCAGCAATGGGACTCACCTCAGTCACGTTGTTCTCCAGGAGGCTCTCGGCTGTCCTCACGGTGAACTGGCACACCTCACACAGCGGAGTGTTCCCCACCCTGTCCTGTCGGGACAAGGTGGTGGGATGCGTGCCAAGCCCCCTCAGAGCCACCCTCATCTTATTCAGCCATCAACCCCCATGTAAGACATTCCCCGCCTTGGAAAAATGGAGATGCTTGAGGAAATAAAATGCAAAATAAGGTTCCCCCTTCGCAGTGTTTAGATTTTAAGGAGCATGGCAGAGTTGGGGCACCCCACTTACGCCCAGCATGCTCAGAACCTGCGTCACCTTCTCCGTGAACAGCTTGTGGAGGGGCAGTGCCGAGGTGGAGGAACAGAGTCCCAGTTGGCCACACAGCTCCATCGGGTCCTGGGGAGGGAGACATCCCAAATCAGGTGGGCATTGTTCCCTCGGGAGGGTGAGCCTGCACCCTCCACTTCCCCGTGGAGGGAGATTTCAGCCCGTTAGGGCATGGGTCTCACTTACCTCAGCCCGCTGCCGGTGGAGGGGCCAGAAAATGGCAAGAAAAAATGAAAATAAAGAAGAATTACAGTGGTCACAAGCCAGAGAGAAGGGGGGTGAAATATTTTAAAGTTTATGGGAGTATAAAGCAGTGGGTTTAACTTAAAAAAGGGAGCATTTGCTGATGAGCCCCCCCACCCCTCAACTGGCACCCACTCACCCCTGGCACCCCTGGGGAGCCGCTCACCCTCTTACCAGGTACCGCAGGAGCTGCGCGGCCGTGCCCACGTACTCAGCCAGGTAGAGCTTGCACTGTGAGAGGGAGACACGGCATCAGTGCCCGAGAGAGGAGGCCCCACCTGGGCAGGCATCTGCAAAAGATGCTCCCATCCTGCAGTGACATCGAGGAGGAGGAGGAGAAGGGGCCCCACCCCTGGAGTGTTCAAGGCCAGGTTGGATGGGACCCTGAGCAAACTGGTCTAAGTGGAAGGTGTCCCTGCCCATGGCAGGGTGGTGGAACTGGGTGGCCTTTAAGGTGACTTCCAACCCAAACTGTTGTGGAATTCCCTTACCTGCTGTGCCAGAGCAGGGCTCAGGCCCTCACACACCCACTCAGCATGGGCCACCAGTGCCTGGGTGAAGGCAGTGTTGGCCCCCAGCTGCAGCTGCACGGCCGCCACTAGCTGCAGGCAGTCCCCACACACCTCTTCCATGTCCTGCAAGATAACACAGGCAGGGACACATCAGTACCTTCTGAAATAAAACCAACCCCTCCCCAATGCCTGCATTTTCAGGGCTGGGATTTAAATGCTGGGTGCAATTTGGGGCAGGTCTTTGGCCAGCATCTCTCTGGTTCCCCCTGCATCCTACAACATCCTCCAAATTGGTGAGACTCCAATCAGAAATCATTTCAGATGTGCAATAGTTTTAATTTTAATTTTTTTTATTGTTGTTAATTAGGTGATGCTTAGGGGATTCTCACCCTTGAGCAGCATCAAGACAGTGGCACAGGTTGTCCAGGGAAACTGTGGCTGTCCCATCCCTGGAAATGTTCAAGGCCAGGTTGGATGGGGCTTGGAGCAACCTGGGCTAGTGGAAGGTGTCCCTGCCCATGGCAGGGGGTTGGAATGAGATGATCTGTAAGGTCCCTTCCAACCCAAACCGTTCCATAATTCCATGATCAGCAGCATTCTTCCTGTGCCATGGTACCTGGGCCTCCCCACGAGGTAGGTCCTGGGGATAGAGCAGGAGGGGCACGTTGGCCATGAAGGGGGCGACCAGGTCAGCGAAATCCTGAGTGGGCCCTGTGGGAGCTGGTGGTGGCTTCTGAAACTTCAGGGCCCCCGTGGGTCTCTCCCGGGGCTGGCACAGCCTGATGGTCCCACACACCACCTTCGGGTCCGACTGGGGGAGCAGAGGGGTGGGGGCTTGAGGCTGTATCTGCCCCATCACCCTGCTCCCCCTGCTCCATCCCTAGGTCATTTCCATCCCCATCATGTCCTTCTGAGGGTTTGTCCCAGGCTCCAAGAGCCTCCTTTGCTCTGCAAGTCCCCAAGACATCCCAAACCACTGAAAAACACAAACCCAGGGGTGTCCCCTGCCAGTTACCAGCACTTGCTTGCCCAGCTGGGCGAGGATGAGGATGCCAGTGTCCACCATCCTCTTGCACTTGACAGACCAGTCCTGGAAGGGCAGGTACTGGCATCTTTTATCCAAGAAGAGCCTCAGCTTTTCCTGCATGACAAATGGAGAGCTCAGGGCCTCAGTGGTGGTGGTGGGGAGGAACAAGTGCCCCCGACCCCCTTCCCAGCCGTGACCCACCTCAGTGCGGTTGTCCTGCAGGATCTTGCCCATCACGGAGACGGCCACCTGGCACAGGTGACATGGGATCCCCTTCTGCTGAGAGAGAGGGGACATGTCAGGATGCTGTCACAGCACCCAGACCCACCACTTGCTCCCAGGATCCCAAGCCTCCACCCCAAAAAACGCCCCACCAAGGGACACTTGGGAACATCCTGGGACACCCACTGTGTGCCACTCATTCCGTGGATGCGTTGCTGTCTGAGGGCATCAGATGCTTCTCTGGGTGCCCAGCATTGGGATGGGCAGCCTGGGATTCTCCCCCCAGCTCCATGTTTTGGGGCACTTCTCCCCCACCCTCCCAGCTCCCCTGCTCCCAGCATGGTTACCCCCAGGGCCTGGTCCCAGACGGTGAGCTGGCAGAGCTCCAGGGCCCCACACTTGGTCGCCGTGGTCACGTCACGACACCAGTCCTCCGGCCGCTCGCCACACTCGTGGAGGGGGCTGGCCCCGGCTGGGGATGGGAGAGAGGAGACTGTCAGCCCACAAGGCACCCCGAAACACCAAACCAACCTCCCCATCTGCACCCCAGTGAGCTGAGAATGATGCTCCTCACCCTCTCGCTGTGATTCCCCCTCAGCTCCCAAAACGGTGGTGGGGTTGTTTGGTTTATAAATGATTTCTTAAGCCCAGCGAAGGTCGGCTTTGCCAGGCCACTGTCTGCTGCTAGCTTTTCCAATGGGATGTCACAGCATCACAAGCAAAGGGAATTTGGGGCTCATCCTCAACCTCACAGCACTCTGACAGGCTGCGGAGGCGGCTGCTTATAAAAGCGGCAATAAAACCTTGCAAATTGAGCAAACCCGGGGCGCCAGCGCTCAGCCCCGCACGGCAGCTGGATAGCCACGCCACAGCTCCCGGCAGTGATTGCGCAACCCCACTTTTGGTGGTGTTTTGTTGCTTTTATTTCCTCCCGACGACAGCATTTTCTCCTGACGGCAAATCCCCGGCAGGACAGCGGCGGCATCGCCCTCCCGAGCCGCCCCGGCAGCGCGGGGCAATGGCGCAACACCGGCCGCTTAATTGTCACCTTGGTGTGTCAGGACTCATTTCTGATGGGGCAAGTGCTTGTTCCCACCGGGAACTATGCCCACCCGGGATGTGGCTGGGGAGGAGCCGGCAGAAGCCAAGCCCTTCGCTGCCTGGCTGCGCCGGGAAGCTGGGGTTGTATGGGGAGCAGCACATGAGCAGAGGGACAGACAGACCCTGCTGCAGACGCTCTTGCAACAACCCCTCTAAACAAAGCACAACTCCACGCTCCCTGAGCATTTGCATCCAGCTTTTCTGCCCCAGTTCCGGCCATGTGATTTTGCACAGCAGGAATAAAGCCAAAGGCAGAAACTGCTCCTTCAACCCACCCTGCCCTCAACAGGTTTCTCTCCCAGAAGTTGCTTTTCCTGTACTCTGGATTCTGGCAATGCCTTCAGCTCATCCACGAGATAGTAGCGTGAGATGCCCTGGGCCACCCTGGAAACCTCACCTTGAGTACTGTGTGCAGTTTTGGGAAGCACAATATAAGAAAGATACTTAAGCCATTAGAGAGGTGGGCCCCCATTTAAGCCAAAGGAGGCCACAAGGATGGAGAAGGGCCTTGAGGGGAAGCCGTATGAGGGCACTTGGCCTGTTCAGCCTGGAGGAGACTGAGGGGAGACCTCGTTGCAGTTACAACTTCCTCATGAGGGGAAGGGGAGGGGCAGGCACTGATCTCTGCTCTGTGGAGACAGCACCCCACGGAATGGCCTGAAGTTGTGGCAGGGGGAGGTTTAGGTTGGATATTAGGAAAAGGTTCTTCCCCCAGAGGGAGGTTGGGCACTAAACAGGCTCCCCAGGGTAGTGGTCACAGCACCAAGGCTGGCAGAGCTCAAGGAGCATTTGGACAATGTTCTCAGGGACATGGTGTGACTCATGGAGATGGTCCTGTGCAGGGCTGAGGGTTGGACTCGATGATCCTTGTGGGTCCCTTCCAGCTCAGCATATTCTGTGATTCTGTGGAAACTTGCTGGAGATGGAGGAGGTGGGGAGAGGGCTCCCAGCCCCCCCCATCCCACCTGCTCCCAAAAGCGCTGGCACAGCTCCGCAGGTGCCGGGGGGTGGTCCAGGCCCAGTTGCCCCATCAGGCTGAGGCAGCACTGGGGCAGGCGGGGGCCCCGGGGCAGGGCAAGTCCCCCCAGATTCCCACACTGCCCACACACCTCCCCAGCAGTGTGATGCTGCCCTCACCCCATCAGCTGAGAGGGATATGTTTATTTTTTTAACCCTTGCTCCTGATCAGGGCAAACAGGAATGGCAAGTCAGTGGAAGCATTAAGGGGCAGCACCAAAACCAAGGAGAGGGGAGGCAACAACCCCACAGCTTTTTTTCTGAGCTGGGTCCACCTAACCCAAGGCATCTCTTGCAGCCCCCTGTTGGAGTCCAAACCCCAGCAGTGGCATGGGGGGATTTGAGCAGTCTAAAAGACACCAGTGGCTTGGTCCTACACTTTTCTGTCTCACAGTGACCCTCGGCTCTGCACTTACTCCTCACTCTGCTCAGGCTGAAACTCAGGCAACAAGTGCTGAGCCAGAAAAATAATTAAGACTAATCACAGCTACCAACCACTGAGAGCAGGGGGAGCTTCCCCAGGTGGAAATGACTGCCACAGGGCAAGCAACCAGGGCAGCTGGTGTCCCGTGAGCTCTCCTCCACGTTTCAAAGCCGTGCTGGAGCCACCTCATGCTGATGGGGAGCCAGGAAGAAGGACAGTAGACAGTGCCGTTTTTGGCAGAGTAGCGAGGCAGAGATGCTCTCATGCCCTTGTAGTGGTCCCAGACCAGTCACAATTGCCCTATTCCTGGCTGCCAGGCCCCTGGGATGGGGTGGGCTTTTCTCAGGGGGATCCAGCACCGCGCTCCAGATCCAGCAAGGCTATGCCAGCATTACGTGGAGCCTCGGAACGCGCCGGCCGAGCCGGCAGAGCCTGGTGAGCCGGTTGTGATGTAAACCCCGGGGGTGGCAGCGTGGGCCCTGGTGCCCCAGTTCCTGGCCTGGTGCACACCCCTGTTACTGCAAAAACCATAAATACACTCTTCCCAGCTCCGAAACCCTTATCCAAGGCCTGCAGAGGCTCCTGGTCCCTCAGCACCGCTGTGCCGTACAACCAAGCCAGGACCGGGTTCCAGGGCAGGTGTCACCCCAAGCATGGACGTGCCGAGCACAGGTGAACTTTCCTGCTCTGCCTGTTGCTGGCTGAACACCCGGACACATCCCCCCCCAGCCCTGGGGGTCACACGTGCGCAGTCACAGCTCCTCCACCACAAGGCCTGGGCAGGTCACATTGGAGGAGTCCAGTGAGTAATCAGGGTGCAGGAGGGGTTCTTCCCTCTGAAAGGTGGGGTTTTGCCTACGACAGCAGGGCTCCACAGCTTCCTCTGGGAAATTTTCCCTGGAATAAGTGATTTGCACTCAGGCAAGGACCTGAGGTTAGAAACACGTTTATCCCAGTTTCCTGGGATGGGCTGGGGGATGGCTAAGGGACAGCAGCATAGGCTTGTCTGCAGGAGGATTCACTCACAGATACCCAAGTCCCGGCAATGAGAGGTCTCCAAAGGTGAGTAGGGCTGCAGCATGTCACCCATCACCCTTCCCGGAGCTGGGCAAGCCAGAACTGAGGCAGGTTCCTGCCTCCCACTCCTTGTAAAAAGCTCCTCAGAAAACGGGCAGCTTCAGATGGTACTCTGGTCACTCTTGTGACAACCAGGTTGTTCCCCCAGCTCACACGCTGGCAGCCAGGCCCCAAGAACAAGGGCGGCAGAGAGAACAGCTCCTCTCCCCCTTGGCTGCTGAAACACCCCAGCATTTGGCTTCATTCCTTCCCGACAAAACAACAGCTCTGCCTGAATCCCAGAGAAGGGAGGGAACGAGCCCCTTTTTGTACTGAGATCAGCTTTAAGGGCAAACATTCCAACACTCACATCCAGGTGGGTAGAGCAGCCAGTGATGTGACCTTCCCCAGCCCTCCTCTGCCCAATTCCAACACCGCAGAGGAACAAGAAAGCACATTATACAGCTTAGACACTACAGCTGGGAATAGTTTTGGAATTCAGAGGCGCTTTCTGGGCTCTCTGAGACCTACCCCCAGGCCTGGTCTTACCTTGGTAGGAGCCCAGGCACACAGAAACGATCAGCACCCAGCCACTCCATTTGCTCTCCATGCCGTTCCTAAGATAGTCCTCAGTGGCTGGTTCCTCTCCTATGCTGCTCCCAGACTGAGGAATCTTGGAGGGGTTGGGAGAAGCAGTGAGAATCCACACCTACGCAGGGCAATTACCACACCCCTTGCCTTACACCTTGATTATAAAATCATCACCAGGCTGCAAAGAGAGGGAGGGACCAGAGGTATTCCCGGGAGGTCAAGAGCCCAGAACCTGATGCTCAACACTAACCTGGGCTGCAGAGGGTGGGCATGGACAGGGAAAACCATCCTGGAGCCACAGGACAGCACCATGTTCCCTGCATTTAAAAGGCACTTATTTCTAACAAAGCAAGGGAGGAGGACAAAAGGGAAGCCCCATTAAGTGCAAGTCAGCAGGGAAGGCTGGTATCAAGCGAGTGCCTTGGCCTGCGCAAGGCAGGGATTGCGACAGGGGGCTGTTTCCTCACACCAGGCGTTGTGCTTGTCCAGGGAAGAGCAGCAGCAATCCCAGGCAAGCCTCTTCCACCTCCCACCTCGCTCAGCAGAACAGACAGGCTTGATAGGACACGCAGCCTGCAAGGCAACAGCATCTTAATGGGAACCTGAACCCATCCAGTCCCAGATTCCCAGTGACACCTTGCGATGTGCCTTCTCTCTTGGCTATGCAGCCAAGGGGAAGCTAAACAAGATCCTTTGGCAACCAGCACACGAGGAATTGAAGCACGCAGTCTTAACCAGTTTACAGAAGTTTTTATTGTTCATTAGGGAAGCTTTTGTGCAAAAAAAAAAAAAATCAAGACAATGTGTTTTGTTTTTTCAGAAAGCAACTGCACGTTTCCCCAGCACGACTCAAGCGGGTCAGGTGCCACAGTCCACAGGAAGGGAGAAAACTACAGGGACTCCCAGTGGCAGCACAGGATTTCCCCAGCTCACCTCGCCCCGCAGCTCGCCAGCATGGATCCTCCACTGCTAAAAAACCCCAGAAAAATAAAACCTTCCCAGCCTGTCCAGTTGCCAATGCAGCCCCACCTCCCCCCCATTAGATCCACGTTAAGAGAACACTGTCCCGTTTAAAACACCAAATACCATCCTACCACACCGGGGTGTAACACAACCCATCCCTCCAGGGCAGCGATGCCAAAGGAAGAGCCCATTCCCTATCTGCTGTATCTACCCCAACTGGGATACACCACCAGAACACTGCACAAGCCTGCCAAGACAGAAAGCTGCAGGTATTTTATATCTTTAGGGGAAATTTTCCTTTTTCTTTTCTTTTGAAGCATTTTCTTTTCTTTTGAAGCATTCAGCAAACAGAAGAGACAAACCTCTGTTGCCATCTGTCAGCACTGCCCAGGCATTTAGTATGTACAGAGTAAATAAAAACCTGCACTCCAGTGGTTTTCCAATGAAAAACAGTCTGCTTGCTGCTACAGCTTTGTAACTGGAGCTCCTGCTCATCCCAGACACCACAGAAACAGCAGGAGTTAGCAGCACCTTTCTGAACAGGACTGGAATTTTCAAAGCTCCTCATCTGCCCAGCTGCTCCTTCCCAAAGGTCTCCTCAGAGCTACTTTGGTGCCTCTGTTTTGATCCAGTGTTTTGGGGATTAACTTGATCAGAATTACACAGCAAATCCAAGGTCTGTCTCAAGCAATACAAGATTCTCACTCCCAAGGGCCTGACATGTTCCCAGGAAAGCAGCCTGCCTTGAAGGGTTTTTTTGGGGATTTCAGGCATTTCAGTGGAATTTCAGAGAGGTGTGAAAGGCAGGCTGTGAGGTGTGCCAGCAGAGCTTCCAATACCTACTACAGTGTTCCTACCATTTGCCATCTCTATTTGCTGCACTTCCTCAGGAGGGGGTCAGTGAGAACAGGTGGCAGCAGGGGAAACTGCCCCCGAGCCTCAGAGCACCTCTGAAGTTTTAGATGACTGAAATATGCTATGAGAGAAAAAGCAGATCAAGGAACAAATGGGCAGTTTACAATAAGCCCCATTTCTCCACACGTTCCACCCTCAATGCTGAACTCCCTTTGACATGTGCACAGCTCCTGCTGACTTGTTCCTCCTCCATCTCCCAAATCCTCGGCACCCAGCCTGGCTGCATGTGGGAAGCTGCAAGACTAAGCAGAATTGAGCAACTAGGATATGGAAAAAAAGGGAGTCATTCCTTAAGTAACGTCAGCATGCTTCAAAAGACTGACATCCCACCGGATAGGGCTTGGCAGCAGAACACCCATGCTTAGACCCAGGAGCTTAAGGAAATCAAAAGGATGTGATCAAAGGTTGAGGGAGGGTTTTTTCCTCAGCTATAACAACACCACGAGCCACAAGCGTGGTCGCTCCAACGCAAAAGCGTGATCACTCAAATGCACCTCTTTAGGTTACCAGTGACTCTGAAAGGTGGCTGGGCACACAAAGCCCCCTCCTCTGCATCTGTAGAGCTTTGAAAATTCCAGCCGAAGGGATTCCCGGATTCAACATTATCCCTTAAGAGTTCCCATACACAGAAAATTAACATTCTAGCCAGATGTTAAAAATGCAAAGCATGTAAAATCTTCCCAATGCTCCCCTACAGAAAGACACTTGAAAGTTTAGTCGCTACCTTGACCTTTTTTTAAATTAAAAGATAAGAGCCTTGTCTCATTTCATCTTCTCTGTCATTCTTCCCAGCACCTAAAAAACACTTCAGCCTACCAATTAAAAAAAAAAAAATCTACAACACACTGACTATTTTTAGGAGCATAATGAGTTAAACTGTACAATCAGAAATATCTTTGTTAAGTCAACGATGAAGATCTGATCCTTCAACAGCAGCACTGCTACAGAAGAGTTACAATAAAGGAACTTGAAGGTCAAATTGTTAACGAGGCAGAGAGGAGGGACAGGTGAGATACAGCTCTCCGCCAATCTCGGCCCACATGTTTTAAGAGCCATGGCAAACTTTCAGAACTGGAAATTCTTCTTCTAGTTCCACACGTGGCGTTTGCAGTGATCAACAGCCTAAAGGGAAAGCAAGAGTTGATGTTAGTGGAAAAGAGTCTGTTTGCAAACCCGCGTGTGTCTACACAATTCAACACCTGATTCTGAGCCAAGATCTCGGGAGCAAATCTGCTTTTCTTAAAATAAGCGATTTTGAAATGGACTAGAATAAATAACATCCTCGTCCCCACCCAGAAGCTTCAGGAAAGAAGGTTGATGACCCTTAGCCACTAAAGCCTGGCAGAGAAAGCAATGCTGGAAGCCAATTTTTAGAGCTTGATGAGAGATCATGAGACATGGTCTGTTTGCTGCAGGACCACTGACTACATATAAAGCTGACACTGTACTTTACTATAAGTTCTGAAATACCAGCAGGCAGGTGGGGATAGGAACAAAATGTAGAGGAAAGTCAGCTTTGAGAAAGCTAAAGCCTATGAAAGACCCTCTAATCAAGCCAGCACCCCACTGCTTTTTTAAACTGGAATACACCCACTTCCAACTGTGGTAGAACCTGAAAGTGGCCATTAAGGAGCTATCAAAGATCAATAGGAAGCTCGAGGCAGAGCCCTGCTTTACGTACATTGCATTGAGCAGCAGTGTCCATGTTCTTACACCAGTAACCTGGACCCCAGACACAAGCATCATCCCCCAGGAGAGGCTGTTTAGCTGATTCACAGACTCCGAGTTTCTGTGAAAAGAACAGCAAGAGAGAGTCAGCACCTTTTTAATTGCACCCTGAGATCCCAAGGCCATCCTTACACCTGAGTGAGTGTGGAAGCTCCACTGAGGTGGGTGCAGGAGCTCTCATGGAGGTCACAGCAGCAGCTGAATGAGCAGCCATGAAGCTGGGATCTGACACAGGGAAGAATTAAGTTACCACAACTCCTTTTTCATATCAAGTTTCAAAAAACAGAGAGGGACTTTTCTCAAGAAGTGCCACTTAACCTCCCCACCACATTCAGGGCACACCACACCCTGTCACTGAAGCTCAGCAGTGGCAGATCTTTCCTTTTGTCATTCCCTGCACTGGGCTGGCACTCAGCTGTCCATTGAGCCCCAGGCCTTGCACAACCACATTTGCTCCAAGCATTCAGTGTGCTGATTCTTATTCCAGCAGAGTTGCCATGTGCTGGGCACTGGAAGGCACACAGGACTGTATCAGAGCCTGCACTCAACAAAACCAAAGGCAATACTCACAGTGCAAACAAAAGTGGGATCCATCACTTCTGCCAGGAGTTGCACAACCACAGGTTCATACTGTTCCACAAACTGAACACACTGTAACAAAGCACAGGTTGAGAGATTCTCCTGTTAGAGCCCCTGAAAGAAGAGGAATATGTGGTCTGCAGCAGGCAGGCTACCCCAAACACCTCAACAGCACTGTCAAAAGGGATAAAGCAGAGGGCTGAGCTCTGCAGATGGAAAAGGACTCAGCATGGCACCTACCACACAGTTTTTTACCAGCTCATACCTGCCTGCAGCTGTCTGCAGACAGGTTATGAGGAGAGAAGGGAAAGGTCAAAAGGAAGAGAACCAAACAGGACAGACTTTGGGAAAAGAACCAAGCAGGATAAGCTTTGACTGCAAAGCTTAGTCTCTGATTGTGGAGATCACTGCTGTCCCAAGAGGAAAGCACAGGGAACCAGCTGGAGACAAACATCCTGAGCAGAACAGCAGCAAAGAAGCAACAACTCCCAAGCACTTTTACCCAAGGAGTTCCCATTCCTTTCAGATCAGGCAGCAGCAGGAGCACTTCCCATCCGGAACAGTCTCTCTCCCCCTAGTGGAGAGGCCGCCTCCAGAGCTCAGGAAGATGCTGCTCTCAGCAGAGACTAACAGCACCATTAATAAATCAAGCACAGCTATTAAACAGCCTCGCAGCAGGAAGAGCTGTTCCAAAGCTGCTTTAAGTCTGTATATTCTATCACTGGTAAACTTACAAGCAGTTGCCACTTGCTGACACTCAGCAGCCACCTAATAAGATTTCCAGGTAAATCTTGATAGTGGTAGTCCCACAGGTGTCTCAATGGAATTAAGCCAGCCTACTTCCAATTACTCCATTAATCCCCTGAACAGGA